CGTCTACAGAAGCAAAAATGCCACACAGAAGTTAAGTATACATTTTGGAATTTACAAAAGATTTTAGGGGAAAAAATCCTACCGAAACATCGGGTTTTCGGGAAGGATTTGTTGAGAGTGTTAAACATAGTATACAGTGTAGGTAAAAGTTTATGGTCGGTATGTACCTTACGTGAGATGGAGTGAGAAACACCTGTTTAAAAGGAGAGAGGTATATTAGGTCCGCCCTTTATATCGTCGAAAATGCATTAGTGGAAGTAGGAAAAGAGGAGAAGCTCAACGTTGCCAAACTTATTGGTTTTATTTGACCTGTTGTATTTTTAGCATTTTAACAATGTTATAAGATAATCAAATTTTGGCGAATTGATTTAAATAGCAGATTACTGAGTTTTGTTTTAAATATGCCATAATTTTCTTTTACAATAAATTAATTTAACATTTTCATTCCACTTCGGAAATCTAAACATCAAAATATGCTTATTTTAAAGTAACATTGTGCCTTATTCCCAATAAAAATAATAAACTACATTATTACACCACAATAAAAAACCTTCTTACAAAATTATTTTGCAACGTCGAGTTCTCCAAGTAAGGACACTGTAGTAACGAGAAAAACAGTAGAGGTGAGTCGTTGACGTTTTTATCGTTAACGAAACTGAACCGTTTTTCGTAAGCAAGTAACAAGTTGAAAAACTAATTAAATTATTTAACTGGTTGATTGTTTAACAGTAGTTTCAAATAAGCGAGTACATAAACAAACATGCTTTCTTGAATCAAAGAAAAAAATACTGTAATACTTTAAACAGCTTTTCAAATTTACTGTAGTTGATTTATAACTAAGTTTTTTTTGCAAATATTGCATACAGCCTTTTCACTGTTAATTGTTTTTCTCAAAGTAGTGCCATAAAATACTAACATCTTTACGCGCAGTCATTTTAAACACAGAAACAGTTTTTTTTTTTTTATTGCATTCGGGCTAAGTGCCCATCTAGCCAGCAACAAATGTGTAATAACGTTCACTTAATAACCTAATCTAACTAAACTAAATACACTACAATTCTGGAAATTAAAAGAAGAATTACAATGGGAGAGGAACTAGGATTACTTTTCGCACCTAGGGGTCATTCAAGGTGACTCACAGACAGAAAGTGTAGACCACGGAAAGTATAGGTAAAAAGGTAAAATACTTGGTGATTAAACAGAGGTAACGAGCTTAACACCTACATACCTACACTAAAGTTTTAAGTTACACATTTTAATAAACTTAAGAATAATTTTATATACCTTGTACATATTTAATGATATCAAATAAAGTAGATTGAAAGGGGGGTATAATTTTTGCAATATTAAACTATTAATAAGTTCTTCTCTTTGTATTTCAAATTTACTACAAGCATAAAAAATGTGATCTAAGTCGCAAACCACATTGCAAGTTTCACAAAGTTCGGTGTTGACTACACCGATTTTACATAAGTGTTGAGGGTAGCTTGCATGTCCGAATTTCAGCCTACATATGGTCACAATATCATTTCTTGTAAAATCATAATCTTGGTGCCAAAAATCTGTCGGAATACTTGGATGTAATAGTGTGTATCGTGTGAGGTTATTAGAGCAATAGTTTTTCCAATGCAGTTCCCATTTTGCCTTAAAATTACTCTTAGATATCATTAAATATTCTTGAGCACCTAAATTGTTGTTGATATGCTCTCCTGTTGTAACGCTTTCTTTGGCTAAGGAGTCTGCAACTTCATTGCCACGAAGTCCTATATGAGCTTTTACCCAAGTGAATTTTAATTCGTATTGACTTTTTTTTAAATTATGAATTCTTACTTTTAATTCTCTAATAAAAGGATTTGTATCAGTAGCCATCACATTAATTGGGTTAGCAATGCATTTAAGAACAGATAATGAGTCACTCAAAAAATTTATTTTTTTTAACTTGTTTTTTTCGACATAATCACAGGCTTTAATAATACCAATAGCTTCTGCAGAAAAAATGGAAGTATTATTATTCAGTTTGAATTTTTCTTGAACGTTTGTTGATGGTATATAGAATGCACATCCCGTACCATTATTTTGTTTTGATGCATCGGTATATATTTCCAGAAAATCTGATAGATTTGATATGCAGGTGCTTAATATATTTTTACTTATCAACCAATTTTCATTGTATACAGGAATATTAATTTCTAGTGGTTCCAACATGTCAAAGAATTCAGATTTTTCGACTGAAATAGTTCTTTTTAAATCATTATTATAACTACTTGTATTTCTAAAAGCCATACATAATGGAGGGAAGGTTTTTTTGACCAGTACGTGTTAGTTAAATCGTGGTTATTTAATAAGGCTATTTTATCTAACAGAGTACGGTTTTTACAAAAAGACTTGATAATAAATTTTTCTGCTAGCCATTCCCTCCGTAAAAATAATGGTGGTTCTAGAGCTTCAATCCGAAGTGGTTCCACAGGCGTTGAACACATTGCACCCAAACAGAGTCTTAGGGAAATATTTTGAATTATTTCCAGTCGTTTTAGAATGTAAGGACTGGCTGACCCATATAACGTACATCCATAATCCAAGATCGACCTAATAAAGGCTTTGTAAAAAGTTAAACACGATTGTGGATCTGCTCCCCACCATGTTCTCCTTATGAATTTTAAAAAGTTTATGCCTTTTAAACATTTTGATTCTATACTTTGTATAAATGGTTTCCAGTTAAGCTTCTTGTCAAGAATAATTCCAAGATAAGTTACCTTATTTGATACTGGATATAAGGTACCATTTACATTTATGTTATCAATATTGGGTAGATTATGTCTTGTAAAGATGGTAACACTAGATTTTTGAGGGGTTAGAGAAAACCCTAACGATTCAAATTTCAAAGTAGTTAGTTGTATATGGGACGTGAGTTCAGTTATACCTACTTCTAATTTTTTGTTAGTGTTATAAACAACAAAATCATCAGCATACTGTATAATATTATAATTATTTTTTTCCTCGTGAATTTCTTTTGTAAAAACATTAAACAAAAGTGGAGAGATAACGGAACCCTGTGGTAAACCTGTGGATGATCGTCTGGGACCTATTATAGCATTGTTATTTGACCTTATATAAACTTTTCTTTGTGTTAAAAGATTGCACAAGACATTACACACTCTCGCAGGGACATCTGCCTGAAACAATTTTTCTCTTAACATAATGATATTAACTGCATCGTATGCACCTTTTATATCGAGAAATGCAGCACCTAGGTAATAGTTATTTGAAAAACATAACTGAATGTCTGTTGTTAAATAAGAAACTGCGTCAATAGTACTAAACCCTTTTTTAAAACCAAATTGTTCCAACGGAAAAAAGGCGGTGCTAGTCAAATGAAATTCTAATCGGTGTTTAATAATCCTTTCAAAAGTTTTCATTACACAGGACAACAAGGAAATAGGCCGATAAGATTCTGCAAGGTTGGGATTTTTGTGTGGTTTGGGGACTGGTACAACTAAAACATTTTTCCACTCCTCAATGACAACGTTTTTTAACCAAATATCGTTAAAATTTCTAACAGAAATAATTTACCCACAGTTGGTAAATTCCATAACATATCGTATGTAACTTGATCCATACCTGGAGCTGTGTTACTGGTACTTTTTAATGCAAATTGTAGTTCAGTAAATTTCAAAGGATAATTAAATATATCATTTTGTACATCTATATTATCTATTAAATCCTTTACTTCCTGATGTGCTGAACATGGTGTGATATTTTGCAAAAAGGTTTCAATCCAGTCATAGTTACTACATTTAGGCTTAAGTGCGGGAATTCTTTGCATTTTTTTTGCCTGTTGCCATATTTCCTTAGACGGAGTATTTTTATTAAGTTTAGCGCAGTAGTTAACCCAGTAACTCTTAGCCTTGTTTTTTAAAAATTTTTTTGATGTTGCCATTTTTTCTTTAACGTGTATATAATTTTCTATATTGCTATTGTTGGTATAATTATTTAAAGCTTCTTTTCTATAACGAACGACTTTATCACATTCATCGTCCCACCAAGGAGGGGGTGACAGCTTAGCTCTTTTAAAAGGCTTATTGATTGGAATTGAAAATGTACTGGCATATTCAATGCCTTCTATGAAATATGTATATTTATCATTGACATTTAGTAGTTGCGGTTTATTACTAAAATATAAAATGCACATTCGTTCGTATTCCATCCAGTTGGCTTTTCTAGTGTTCCATTTGGTTTTTGGCTGTATTGTGTTGCTAAACTGTTCCCTCAATATATTAAGTTTCATAAAAATGAGAAAATGATCCGATCCAAGAGTATCTGTTAACACTGTCCAGTTAGTTTTATCCGCGATATCCGGAGATACTAGTGTTAAATCGACAGAAGAATTTTGTCCCGACCAAGATATTTTTGTAGGTGAGCCATCATTTAAAATTACCAGGTTATTTTGATTTAATGCATTTACCATATTTTTCCCAGATTGATTGATTTTATATGAGCCCCATAGGTCATGGTGCGCATTAAAATCTCCTCCAATTATTGAGGTACCATTTATGTTATTAAAAAGATTGGAAAAATTGTTTACAGTAATTGAAACATTTGGAGGACAATACACAGAAACACAAGTGATGGATAAGTTTTTAGAAACAAAAATTTCTGCTGCACAGATTTGCATACCATCTACTACATTGTTAAGAAATACTTCTTTGAAGCTGATATTATTTTTTATAAGAATAGCGACACCCGTCATACCATCTATCCTATCCTTTCGCACAATAGAATATCCATAAAATGTATAAGTTACATTTGGTTTAAACCATGTTTCTGATATTAAAGCAATATCAACATCATAATCTGATAATATTTTAACTAAGCTATGTTTATTGGATACAGCGGAGCGTGCATTCCACTGACAAATTTTTAATTGGTTAAGATTAGAATGTGTCGTCATCATCAGGTATACTCTCATTACAATTAAACGCAATATTTTTAATAAAATTTACATCAATGGTTGAAAGTTCTTCAAAAGATTTTACTTCACTTAGTACTTTCTGAAAGACCGTGAAAAATCCCTTAATGAATTCGTCTGACATATCAGATTCAAAATTGTCTCTAGATGGCATATTTATAGGTTTCTCGGGTCCAAAATTAAATGGGAACATTGGAGGGGGATTTGATATTTGAATGGGAGATGTGGCTTTTCGCTTTTTGTTACCTGACTCGATTTGAGTTGAAGCGTTGTGATTTCGCCCTCTTTGTACGTTAGTAGAACTAGTTGATTGAGATGAAAAAGGTTGTCTGGGATTTTTGATATTAGGCCTTCGTGTGGGCAAAGGGGGAAATTCTTCCTCTGATAAATGAGATAAAGCTTGAAATTTATTGTTAATTTTTAACGTTGAAGCATATGATGTTTTATTTAAATTTCTTGCTTCCGTAAAAGTTAAATTCTCCTCAGCCATTTTCTTCTTCTTTTCACTTTGTTTTAAATATGTTGGACAAGATTTAGATATAGATTTATGTGAATTTGTTTTGCAATAAATACACACAGAAACAGTTAATAAAGTAAATATTTAGTACTCACAGAATAAATTCGAATTTACGTTAATATGTGTTAATATTTAAAATTTAAAATAATCGATCATTGCAAAATTTAGAAAGTCGAGCATAAAAGCTGCATATTCTACAAATGTGCATTTTTTGAAAATACAATTATTAGGTACGCTTGTACGAGGTAAATAATTTTAACTAAGAAAAAGACTTCTTAGTTGAATATTTACAATAAATAAATCCTTTAACGAATTATCAATAAAGATTTGAAATCAAAAATGCAGATTAATCGAAAATCGAAACTCATTCATCAATTAGATTACCTACATAGTTATTTTGTTTTCAACGTCAACCAATCCCTCGAGTGTCCATCGTCCCGAAAAAGTCGGGATGTTATATTTATTTTTGTAGTAGTCTCTCAGATCAACTTATTGTCCTCGACGGTTATTCCACGACCCTCTTGCTTAGGCCTTCTCTCAATGATGCTATTGCTTGACTTATTTTTTCGGATGTGGTAATCGATTTGTGATTTAGTAGCGAACTTAACTAACTGATGTATTAGGGAGAGCGCCCACCAAATGGCATGGCAAGTGGCAAGTAGCAAGTAGCGCGCGTCTAGCATATTACTTAAAATGTAACCAATGAAAACGAATGATTCAGCTCACACCAAAATTACAGTGACGTCAGTCATTCTAATCATTCGTTTTGACTTGGTTACATTTTAAGTAATATGCTAGACGCGTGCTACTTGCTACTTGCCACTTGCCATGCCAATTTGGTGGACGCTCTCATTTAGTGGATGGCTATAGAAATTAACGCGTTCGATGGTAACCAAATGCGTTAAGTCGCTGCGTGTCGATTTCAGTGAGTCAAATTCTTACTCCCTCCCTACATGTTGCATGGTTTATTTGTAATACGTCATCCGATTTCCCAAAAAACAAAACTTTTTTAAAACTCAATAATGAGGGTAATGATTGTACACTAAATCTTTTTAAATTCAAACTTTTTAATTGAAACAGGAGACGTACTTTCACAAAATAATTTTCAGTCGATTATTTTGCACTCAAGTGTATATATAAATTGTTTTGCTTTTCTTTCGGAATTATTGAATCATTTGTAAAAAATAGTTAGCTCCACTTTCACCCATTTGTACGAGGATATCTGACTACACACATTCAAAGAAATCTAATGATGTTGGTTTAAAGAGAATCTGTTACTACGTTGGTCCCTTTTTTATAATAATTTACGGTTGTCATTAAAAAACGTTAATAATCAAACACAAGTTTAAAAGCAACTCAAAGAATCTTTACTGTATAAATATTTTTAATTCGTAGAGGAATATTTGCACGAGGCGACTGGTTAGTTACATATGTAATGATTTATTTATATTTACTCTGCATTTTCGCATATAAACCTTTCTTTCAGTGTGTCATAGTTGATCGAATAGAAAAAAACGTGAGTCTTTGATTAATATACATAGAACTTAGAAAATTATGTATCGTTCACAAGTATTTGCATATTAAAGCGAATTTTACTTACGGATGTATCGCACCCTCAGTGCAAGACTGCAGTAACTCAAAATTTTATGAAAATGAAGTAATCATGGAATTCGATTGTAAACATGCATATCTATCCCCTGTAAAACTTTAGTAACTTTCAAATACTTAACCGGCTAAATATTACAACAACAGTTTAACTATTTTGTGTTTTTGTACATAAGTTCCTTGCAAAACTGTTGTAATTCTAATGTACATAACAGAGTTACAATAGTTTTGCACGAAACATTGCAATAGTTTCGATAACAAGCAATGAAAAGCACGAAGAAAGTAAGATATGTTATTTACAAATAAGTTATTTAATATATATATATATATATATATATATATATATATATATACTATATATATATATATATAATATATATATATATATACTATGTATATATACTGGTGTTTAATTTTAATATACAGCGTGTCTACATAATCCAATAACGGCCGAGACAATAAACAAAGATTTACGAGACTAATCTATTTATGTAAGATTTATGTCCTATGTGTGACATTATATTTTCTATAAAATGTGTGCGATATCCTTTGACCATTTATTTATTAGATTGGATTAAAAACACATAAATTAAGACTAATTATTTACAGCCAAGTATTTTTTCTTATAAAAGGAAAACCAGTTATCTTAAAACTTGTGTAATAACAATACTGACAGGTTAAAATATCTATTCTCAGAAAACTTGTTCCATAAAAAGTAAATCCCAAATTGTCTTAAATCTTTATGTAACATTTCGGGGCGATTGTGTTATTTTATCCCCCCGTAATTCCCAACTGTTACTAAGATAGTAAATTTCAATCCTTTTGTTATTCTTTGTACTCAAGGTAGCCTGATTTCCATATTTTTATTATAATCCTTTTGTTTTGAAATTAAATAAAAATATTGAAAGTTTTACAAATAATTTTCCTAACTTGTTCTGACATTGTCATTGCAAAGCAAGCGAATTGTTGCTATCAGAAACATGTGAAGAGATAAAAAGATTAAATTGCCGCTAGTGATAAGCCGTTTTATTAGGTACATATTTATTCTACGTAGCTAACTGATTTCTTGGAATCTATTAAATGTAAAGTTTAATACGATACTAAACCCCGATTGCTGTTTCGCATTATCTTTTCTTTACTTACCCGATGATTTATTGGAACTTATTAAACGTATATACCAAACCCCAGGAATTACTTTCGTTTTACCACCAGGTGATTTCTGAAAATCCATTAAATGTAATGTTTAGTACTATTCCTATCGTTGTTGGAGATTACTTTCTCTTTACCTATCCTGATTAACTTATTAGAAACTGGTTCTCAGGGAGGAGTACAAAAAGGTATATTTTATTAGCGTAGTTTTAAATAATATAATTTGTTATTAGCCCTTCCAAGTGATAGATGCAGAATTAACGATTTCGAAAATGACAAAATTTAATAGTTCAAGAACATTGAGGATTTTATCCCTGTGTGCGCAAGTAAGTGAGGATAGCAACGACATGCAGAGTAAGTTGAATTTAAATTAATTGTTGTATTATAATGTAGAGAAGTGCTACTTAAACCTGTCTACAAAGAACAGCCAAAAATTCAAATGGCCACAAAAAAAGATTTGGTATACTTAAGCCATTAGGGTATGATACCAGAAGCCCACCATAATTTTTATAAAAATATTTTGGCCCAAGATATACCAGAAGAGGACAACAACTAACAGAAAATGTGTCTACACTTTTACTTTAAATTTAACTTGGATTAAACACTTTTTAGTAGAACGGATAAAAGGGAGATATATACGTGTTTCAACAACCATAATGAAACTTGAATTATTGGTGATATTAAAAAAATATTTACCAGATAAAGTTTTCAAGTATATATTAAGAGATACTTAATAAATGAGATTATATTTTTTTTATTCTCCAGATTAGATGTACTAGCACTTCAACATGGTTATAGAGTATTGATATTGCCTCCATATCATTGCCAGTTTAACCCAATTGAGAATGTTTGTTCAGATACTAAAAGACATTATGATGCAAAAATTTTGTGGGTACTGTAAATGAAAGTACACTATTAAGTATTTGGAAAGAACCATTAGAACAGATAATTCAAGCGTACTAAAATTCCTAGATAATAATTGTGGTTAAATTTTAAATTACACCAGAAAAATTGAAGGTATATGTAAGACATGCAGAAGACATGATTAGTGAATACTGCAAGACAGCCAAAAAAGTTGATGCCAGCCACATGCCTCCTATAATTATTGATTTTGATGAATTAGGTACTGAATCAGATTGGGAATTCAGGAATGATATTAAAGAAATATCTTAAACTATTACCGTTATAGATATTTATATGTATTAAAATGATTCTTTTTAGAACCACGCAATTTTCTTGAAATGTAACATATAATTCAAGCCAACCATATATCTCCTGTAATTATTGATTTTAATAAATCAGATTTTGAATCGGATAGTGGATTGTTTAAAATATAATATTCATTTTTGTTATTCATAAAAAAAGAAGGTAAACTACATTTGGTGTCTTGTTTTTAATGAAACTTTATTGATACTATTTCATCTGCATACCGGAACTGGTAGACTAACTTAAAAATCAACTGCTTCAATATTTAAACTATTTACATTGTATTTTTTTAACTAAATTTCATAACACTCTTTTATTTGCACACCAAATCTGGTAGAATAACTCAAAAATCAACTGCTTCACTCTTAAAACTATTTCCACTATTTAATGATAAATCTTTACTAAATGAAACTATTGACTGCCACAGAAACAAATCGGAAAATTAATTATCTGAATATGACCAATTTCAATCGACGCTATTTTATCGGCTCTAGAAATGTGGCTGTATCGACGCATACTGAGAATACCTTGGACAGACAGAGTGACCAACACAGAGGTAATAAGACGAATGGGTAAAGAGGTGGAATTGTTAACAACTGTTAAAAGGAGGAAAGCGTCATACCTGGGCCATGTGTTCCGTAATGATAAGTACAGTCTGCTACAGCTTATCGTGGAAGGCAAGATTGAAGGTAGAAGAGGTTTGGGCAGAAAGAAGAAATCCTGGCTGAGAAACTTGAGAGAATGGTTTCAAATACCAGAAGCTGCGAACATAATTCATGCGGCACAAAACAGAGAAACCTATCGTATGATGGTCGCCAACCTTCGGTAGAAGACGGCACATAAAGAAGAAGAAGAAGCTATTTTATCACAGGAATGTCTGTCTTGATGCCTTGCAATAGCCAGAATTTTTTTATCTCGCAGTCTTTTATTTAATTTTTTTACTCTTAAATGATTCTAGGAGGAAGCGTTAATTTGAAATAAACAAACATTCTATAATGTTTGTAATAAATAAT